AAAATGGTTCCATATGTTCAAAGAAGTTCTGTCTCACACCAATCATTTTTTATAAAAAACTACAATTGATAAAAAATGGTTCCATAGATCCAAAAAAGTTTTATCTTACACCGTTCGTTTTTATAAAAAACCATTACTACTAAGAAGTGGTTCCACAGATTTAGAAAAGTTCTATCTCGCACCATTTTTTCTCAAGAAAGAACCATAGTCGATAAAAATGGTTCCACATGTTTAAAAAAGTTCTATCTCACACCAATCATTTTATATGAAAAACCATAATTGATAAAAATGGTTCCATATGTATAAAAAGGTTTTGTCTCACGCCAATCATTTTATATAAAAAACCATAATGAATAAAAATGGTTCCATATGTATAAAAAGGTTCTATCTCATACCGTTTGTTTTTATAAAAAACTAGGACTGCTAGAAAATGGTTTCGAAAATTTAGAAGAGTTCTATCTCGCACCATTTGTATTTGAAAAGAAGCGTCTTCTATATAGATGGCTCGAGTATAAATCATTTGAACAATCTCTTTTTTTTGTTCTCTTATCAGTGATATCTAAAGTAGCTTTTTATTGGATTATTTATTTATCCAATATTTATATGTTTATCTGTCACGTCATCATATTTTTGTTTTTTGTTTATTTTTTAAACACGATGTTCAGAATCAAATACTATCTCGTAGGAACTGACGTACATATATGATTGTCTTCAGCATTTTAAGCAACAGATTTTACACTTGTTTTTGTTTTAATAACATATCTTCGCTTTTCAGTACAATTTGTTTGTGCTGATTTTATTTTTGTTTATTTTAGATAAAGAAAAACGTTTTTTATTTAAAATTGATTCATTAATTGATAGTTAATTGCAACATAAATATGAATATATATGATATGAAGTGTGACGATGTATTAAATTGGTTATCAACATTTATGTCAAATTCGGATATAATAAGAAAATTTAAAGGTAATTAAAAATGTCTTCACTTTATTTTTGTCCCCTTTGTAAAAATCGTCCACCATTTATTACATTTATAAATCTTTATAAACATATTCGTTCTATTCATCGAAATGATGTACCTTTCAATATCCGTTGCTTACTAAATCCTGGTTGTGGCTCGACTTATACGACTTTTGAAAGTTATCGTAGTCATCTGAACCGATATCATCATGATCTATTAAATAATTATGATATACCAGCTGATTTTACATTGAATGAAAATGAACAATTATTATCATTCTCGTCATCAAATTCAAATATTAATCAAGATGACGAAGATGAACGTATTGTTGGACAAGAAAGTTCAGATGAGGGTGAATCAGAGACGTTGGAAGATACAAATATAAATGAAAATCTTATTGATTGGTCATTATTCACAGATTTAACCAATACAGAAGATCATAATAAGGAGTTTACTTTCAGTTCATTTGAAAAACATTACACTCATTTCCTACTTAATTTACGTGAAGGACATTTATTACCACAAGGCATCATTAAATCAATCACATCTTATTTCACAACTATGCTGGACGCATTATTTAAACTAATCGAAAATCAAGCAATACAATCATCAACAAATCCATTAATCTCATTAGTTGATATAGGAAAAGTAATATTACAAATAAAAAACTTAATATATGATATTTCTAAAAACGACTATCAATTCCTGAAACGCTGTACAGATTATTTTGGATACACAGAGCCATTAAAAATTGAACTAGATGATAAAAATAATTGTGGTTATTATGTTCCAATTGAAAGAAGTATTCAGAATTTATTGAACAAACCAGATGTTATTAATTATTTAATTGATAATGTGAATAATAATATATCACAAACGAAGAATGATCCTGATTTGATGTTAACGTACCGAGACGGTACTGCAGCAAAAGACAATCCTTCATTAAAACTTCATCCTAATTCATTTTTAATTCAACTCTATTCAGACGGAATTGGAATAACAAATCCCCTAGGTCCAAAAAAGGACAAACATAAACTTACTTTATATTATTTCCTTTTAGAAGATTTACCAGATTTTGTAAAATCCATGTTGCAATCGATTGGTCTAGTTGGAATATGTCCGACAAAATTTTTATCGATACAAACAAATCGTATGAAATTTTTTGAACCTATTATAAAAGATTTGAATCATTTACAAACAACTGGTTTAGTTGTTCAAACATTCAATGGACGATTACATTTTGCATTTAGCTTATTCGCAGCTGACAATCTTGCTTCTCATGAAATTGGCGGATTTCAACAAAATTTTAATTCGGGACAATTTTGTCGATTATGTCACATTTCTTATAAATTCAGATTGATTCCATTAACAGAGATTTCATTTCTACCACGCACAGTAACTACACATGGTTCATATGTTCAACAAGCTGTAAACTTGTTTAATACAAGACCTGTTGCTGGTGTTGTAGGCGAAAGTCCTTTGTCCAAATTGATTGCTTTTCATGCAATCAAATCTTTGCCAAATGATTTGATGCATGATTATGCGGAGGGTATAAATAAGAATGTTGTTTTTATCTAATTGCTATAAGTTATTTTCTGTGTTCACATTATTTAGGCGTGTGCCCGCTCATAGTTTTAGCTATGTTAAAAGAAGTCTCAGCGAAACGTCTCATGACATATAATCAAATAGAACAAAAAATTCATACATTTAGTTACGGAATGAATGATCAGGTGAATAAACCGCCCACAATTCGTGCAACACATCTTACAAATAATAATATAATTGGTTCAGCAAGCCAGAAACTATGCTTATTTAAATTAATGCCATTCATATTTCACGATGTCATTGATCAACTAACAAATACGTTAGATATTTATACTTGCCTACGTGAAATAATTAGTTATACTTACTCAATAAAATTCAGAAAATCTTGGTTAATGTACTTTCAATCGTTAACAATACGTTTTCAGTCGTTAATGGCTCATCATTTACCCGATCTCATTATACCGAAAATTCATTTTGTCACTGAGTATCTGAGAACAATTAATGCAAATGGACCAGCAACTCGTTTTTGGTGTATGCGGTTTGAAGGTAAACACTTGTATTTCAAGAGATTGGCTATTAGATCGTTGAATTTCAAAAATCCAGCATTTACTCTTGCCAAAAGACATCAACTTCGACAATGTCTAATGTTATCCAATAAGAATTATTATAATATATGTACTGAGATAACATTGTTAAAAACCATCCAATATTCTTCATTACCAATACCTGTTCAACGTTTATTAACAGAAAATAATATTAATCAAAACATATTTGATGAATGTAAAACAATTTATTACAAAAATGTTATGATGATGAGACAATCAGTATTTGTTGAAAGATTAGTTGATGTAGAAGAAGAACCATATTTTGTTTCTATCCTGTATTTCTTGAAAATACAAAATATTTGGAAAGCAGTTGTTGAACATTTACAAGTGATAGGATTCAATGAAACACTTTGGGCATACGAGATCGAATTTTGTAAAACATTCGATCTATTAGACTTGGATCAACTTCTACACATTTTGCCTCATGGGCTAGATATTTATTATGTTCAAGGTTCTGCTTATGTTAATGTTTTATCTCGTTTGACTGTTTGATGTTATTTAATGGATATTTTCTTTTCTTTCCATTTCATATCTATTTCACGTTTTTCTTTTGTTTACAACCAACCAGAGCTTTCATCATATCTTATCCATATGCGTTTTCATATAGTTTTACTAATACTTTTCTTTGATTTTTATTTAGAAGAGGAAATCGATGGAGCTACGTTAGCAAGATTGCCATACGATGAAGTACGTACATTATTTCCAAAATTAAAAGATCGAGTATTATTCACTGAAAAACGTGATTTATTGATCAAACAATGGAATAATATTGTAAATGAACAATTAGACGATGGAGATATTTTGAATCAATCTAGCAAACAAACATTTGATACATGCACGGCATCACAATCAACAACTTCAACACAAGATTTGCTAAATAATCCATCATTATCTAGTAACAATATGAATGGTGACGAATTTGATGAAGCATCAAATATCGATGATGAGGTTAATCATGATGAAACTGATGATTTAGAAGAACCTCATCAGAATTTGCCAACTGATTTTGCATTTTCATCACTACCAGAAGAAATACAAGTGATTATTGATGAGAATGAGTTAATGAAACTCCGTGGACATACAAATCATAGACGAATACTGCTCAACTTTGTGTTTAAAGCTGTTGCTACCACATATAATTTATTGTATAAAATAATAGAAATGAATTTTGTAGATTCAAAATCAAATTTTTTTTTTCACGATAGATATCCTAAAGCAAATGATTATTTTTTAATTACACAAGCTTTGCTCAAAGCATTAAATATTTCAACAACAGATGCAAATGCAGCTGTAAGAAAATATTTGTTCTTATAATTTTCTCGAACAAATTATTCATAGAATGAATGGCGAGAAGCAGTAAAACAGAAGTTCAAAAATGAACGTCGACTTTTACAAAACACATCTGCAGTAGTACAGAGAAAAAAAGAAAAATTTGGAAAAGGTTCTGGACGCTTTGCAAAAAAAAGTGAAGCACTATCTGCTGAACGAAAATCTGATAAAATGGTCAGTTGAAATTTAATTCTAAAATTAGCATACAAAATAATGTTCTTCATTGTTTTAGATTTATGTTAGTACTATTATGGATGAAAGTGATGTTGAACAATTAATCATAACAATGAACGAAGGTATTGAAAATGAAACAATACATAACGATGAATTAATTACATTATGGAAAAAAACGTTTGGTTATCGTCGGTCATTCATTCGTTCACACACAATTAATGAAATACTAGAGAAATTTCCCGGTTATTCATATACACATTTCGTAAGTTTATTTTAAAAATATGTTTTTCTCTCAGAATTTTATCATCTTTATTTCTTAGATGTTTGAAGAAGTCAAAATGATCGAAAACATTGATATTGAACAGAATGTAAATGAAATTTTACCACGTTTATTTGATAAATTACCGAATAATTCATTATTTGTTATGGGTGAGTAAGATGTAAAAAGTTAAAAAATTAAGCATGGTCTTCTTTTAATATGATCGATAAAAGATTTATATAGATATTAAAACTAATTATTGTAAGAGAATCTTTATTGCTAAACTTTTGTCTTTAATCGGTCTGATCTTATTTATTAATGAAGAATAACAACAGTTGGATCAGAGCAATAAAAAAATCTTTATTCATATTTCATATTTTCATTATGTTTAGATTTGTTACCAATTCGTGTAATAAAATTATTATGTAAACAATTTAATCAATCCATCAGTCATATATTAGTTGATAATGTAAGATTTAGTTTTAGGATTAAACTATTCATTTATTTTTACAAGTACCATTCTCTTTTCTATTGCATACTTTATGTAGGAGCCAATTGTTCCATCACCCTGTATTAAAGTTACGAATGAAAAATTTGAATTATATCTCGATTGGAAATTAATTATAAGAACGACAAGTCCTACAACAGCATTAGCATTATTATTATCGTTATATAATGTATTTGCAATTAAGTTTGCTAAAAACAATCATACTTCTCATTTACTATATGGTGTATTTTTTCAAAATGGAGATGAACTTGGTAAAAATCTACGAATTATATTAAATTCATGGCATTTCACATTCGAAGATCGAATAAAACATTCTCAAATTCAAGCAACAAACGTTATCGATTCTGTCAATATGCCATCCACATCGAATTTACAGATTCATTCTACATCAGCAACAACGACAGAAATTATTCAATCATCTATAATATTGAACAATAAAGAAAATCAATCACCTACATCACCACAATCAATTCCATTAATAATAGACGAACAAGAAGAACAACAACCGTCTGATAATCCATTAATGCAAGAGCATGAACCTGAACAAATGGATATTGCTATTGAGACACCATCAATCTCGTCCATATCTTCAAGAATCAAAACAAAATCTAACACAAAAACAAAATCTCGTACTTCTCCGAATTCTCTAAATTCAGCATTGAGAGATGCGACAAACAAAGAAGAAACATCATCTGCATTAGCCAAGAACAAAAAAAGAAAACTGCCACCATCACCACAACAACAACAACAACGAAAACAGTCATCACGTTTAATAGCTAAAAGAAGTCGACAAGACGATTCTTCTTTTTAAATTTAATTCAGACAAACTTTTTGTCTAAACTTTATCTTTTTTCTTCATTTTTCTTCTCACTCTTATTATCTTTTACTACATGTTAAAAAGGTCAATTCGTTAATTATGACTATGTTCAAACTTTGACTTTTTATATTAAGCTACAAATACATTCAGTAAATTCTACAAAGAGCATTATAAGCAATACGATGCATTTAACAATTTACACTGATACACGAAAATTATCTTCTTTAGTTTTTATTATCTATTCTTTCAAATAAAACACGGCAAAAAACAAGCAGCTACAACAGTTTGCATGTCTAAATACTGCTCAATAAACGAACAGATCCATAAATTTTTAACACGACTGATTGAAAACGTCATTTTCGACGACTTATTCCTATGAAAACTATTTCTCACAAAATCAGTGTAACTCCTTCTTTAAATTCCAAACCTATTCATTTTACTCATGACGTTTATATTCACTTATAATTAAACCATGAAACATACTACTTAAATGAATCATTACTTTTCTTTTTAATCTTTTTTTCGATGGAAGCTAAGTAAACATTTGACTTGTAAGTTTATAACTAATTTATCACCTATATATTTATTTCGTTATTCTTTTTCTTTAGGTTGATGCTGATGAAGCGTTGAATGGTAAGGTATAATATTAAATTCATAATTACTTGACTTTTTTATCTTTATTTAGATCGAAGCTAAATAAACATTTTAACCGTAAGTTTATAATTTACTGATAAACTATTTATCCATTTTATTATTTTTTTTTGTAGATTGATGTTCATCAAACGCTTTATAGTAAGACATAGTTCTTAAATTAATTGTTACTTTTCTCTTCAATTTTCATTTAGATGGAAGCTAAACAAGAATTTCAATCGTAAGTTTATAACTAATTCATCAACCATTTATTTGTTCTTTCACTCTTTTTCTTTAGATTAGTGTTGATAAAGCGCTTTATGGTAAGACATAATTCTTAAATTAGCAATTACTTTTATTTTTCATTTTCACATAGGTATAACCAAAATAAACATTTTAATCGTAAATATATAACTAGTTAACCGATTATTTATGTATTTTGTTATTGTTTTTCTTTGGGTTGATCTTGATGAAGCGCTTTATGGTAAGATATAGCTCTTAAATTAATTATTACTTTTCTTTTTTTTGTCTTTATTTAGATGGAATCTACACAAACGACTTAATGGTAAGTTTATAACTAATTTGATCAACTATGCATTTATTTTGTTATTCGTTTTCTTTAGATTGATGTTCGTCATGAGCTTTGCGGTAAGAAATAGTTCTTATATTAATTATCACTTTTCTTTTCTATTTTTATTTAGATGGAAGCTAAAGAAACGTTGTCAGGGTAAGTTTATCACTAATTCATCAACTATTTATTTGTTTTTTATTCTTTTTCTATAGGTTGATGCTGATAAAGCGTTGAATGGTAAGACATAGTTCTTAAATTTATTATTACTTTTCATTTTTATGTTTTTTTAGATGCAAACTAAAGAAATATTTGGCTGGTAACTTTATAACTATTTTTTATTTTGTTATTCTCTTCCTATAGGTTGATGTTGATAAAGCGTTGAATGGTACGACACAGTTCTTAAATCAATTATTACTTTTCATTTTTATGTTTTTTTAGATGGAAGCAAAATAAACATTTTAATGGTAAGCTTCTAATTATAACTAATTAATCAACTATTCATTTATTTTGTTATTCTTTTTCGTTAGGTTGATGTTGATGAAGCGTGTTACGGTAAAGCATACTACTTAAATCAATTACTTTTTATTTTTATGTTTTTTAGATGCAAGCTAAAGAAACATTTGACTGGTAAGTTTATAACTAACTGATCAACTATTTATTTATATTGTTATTCTTTGTTTTAGGTTGATATTCATCAGGTGTTTTATGGTAAGACATACTGATTAAATTAACGATTACTTTTGTGTTTAGTTTTTATTTAGATGGAAGCTAAACAAGCATTTTAATTGTAAGTTTAAAATTAATTCATCAACTATTTATTTATTCTAGTGTTCGTTTTGTTTAGGTTGATGTTCATCATGAGCTTTACGGTAAGAAATAGTTCTTAAATTTATCATTACTTTTCGTTTCAATTTTTATTTAGATGGAAGCGAAACAAGAATTTCAATCGTAAGTTTAAAACCAATTCATCAACTATTTATTTGTTGTTTTTCTTCTTTTTCTATAGATTGATGTTGATAAAGCGTTGAATGGTAACACAGTTCTTAAATCAATTATTACTTTTCGTTTTTATGTTTTTTTAGATGCAAACTAAAGAAACATTTGACTGGTAAGTTTATAACTATTTTATTAACTATTTTTTATTTTGTTATTCTCTTCCTATAGGTTGATGTTGATAAAGCGCTGGATGGTAAGATATAATACTTAAATTAATTATTACTTTTCTATTTAAATTTTATTTAGATGGAAGCTAAAGAAACATTTTAAGGGTAAGTTTATAATTAATTCATCAACTATTTATTTGTTTTATTATTCTTTTTCTTTAGGTTGATGTTTATCAAGCACTTTATGGTAAGATATGCTACTTAAATTAATGATTACTTTTCTTTTTTTTGTCTTTATTTAGACAGAAGCTAAACGAAAATTTTATAGTAAGTTTACAACTAACTGATCAACTATTTATTTTGTTATTCTTAGGTTGACGTTGACGAAGCGTTGAATGGTAAGACCTACCACTTAAATTAATGATTACTTTTCTTTTCAATCTTTATTTAGATGGAAGCTAAAGAAACGTTGTCAGGGTAAGTTTATCACTAATTCATCAACTATTTATTTGTTTTTTATTCTTTTTCTTTAGGTTGATGTTGACAAAGTGTTGAATGGTAAGAGATAATTCTTAAATTTAATATTACTCTTCTATTTGAATTTTATTTAGATGGAAGCTAAAGAAACATTTTAAGGGTAAGTTTATAACTAATTCATCAACTATTTATTTGTTTTTTATTCTTTTTCTTTAGATTGATTTTGATGGAGCGTTTTATGGTAAGACCTACTACTTAATTTAATAATTACTTTTTTTAAATTTTCATTTAGATGGAAGCTAAACAAACGATTTGATGGTAAGTTCATAACTAATTGATCAGCTATTATTTATTTTATTATTCTTTCTCTTTAGGTTGATGGTCATGAAGCGTTGAATGAGACCATATTATGTTAGGTGCCAACTATGGTTCTCATTAAGGTTGCTAAGAACAGACGATTGATAATTATTCCTGCTTCATGGTGTCAATTTATTAACTGTTAGATGGGAGCATTCTAATAGCTACCAGGGAATTTTTGGGTTGATATGCTAGAATGGTTATTAGCACTCAGTTTTGCAAGATATCTAACTGAGTGAACGATGCAGAAAATTGTAAACAGTGCTTTTTGAAATAACGTAGCTCATCAGAAATTGATTAGGTGAATTATGGTGATTAGTTAGGTTTCCAAGGAAACCTTTATAGGACCGACAGAGTTGACGTCAGTATATGAAGGAACTTTTTTCCCTCCAGCTTGAACCCTTTTTTTATGCAGGGAGAGGGAGTAAGAAATGAAACCATATTTTGTTTGAACCTTAAAAGGTTC